AGGACACTACGTGTGTGCGCTGCGTGTGGGTGCCCAGTGTGTGCTCAGTGTGTATGTGTGTGTGCTGCGTGTGTGTGATCAGTGTGTGTGTGTGTGCTGCGTGTGTGTGTGCTGCATGTGTGTGCCCAGTGTGTGTGTGTGCTCAGTGTGTGTGTGCTGCGTGTGTGTGCTGCGTGTGGGTGCTCAGTGTGTGTGTGCTGCATGTGTGTGCTGCGTGTGTGCTCAGTGTGTGTGTGTGTGTGCTGCGTGTGTGTGTGTGCTGCATGTGTGTGCTCAGTGTGTGCGCTGCGTGTGTGTGCTCAGTGTGTGCGCTGCGTGTGGGTGCCCAGTGTGTGTGCTCAGTGTGTGTATGTGCTGCGTGTGTTTGTGTGCTGCATGTGGGTGCCCAGTGTGTGTGTGTGTGTGCTGCATGTGTGTGCTGCATGTGTGTGCTCAGTGTAGGTGCTGCATGTGTGTGGTCAGGGTGTGTGTGTGTGCTGCGTGTGTGTGTGTGCTGCATGTGTAATATCTTCAATTATGGCGGGAGACGAGTTGATGGGGCAGCACTCTTTATTCACAACGGTTGCACACGTAACAGTCCCAACCGGGATAACACCTATGTCACACGTGCCTGACTCGGCCACGTACTCCGTCTTCCCCGTGGGGTACGCGCACCTATCTCTGCCTCGACTCAGGCTCTCCGGCTACGCTCTCCCCACGGGGAGCTATCAGACCCCTACGCGCACTCGGCTCGGGTCGTACTCAGTCTCTCCCGTAGGGTACGCGTGCCTACCTCTGCCTAGACTCAGGCTCTCTGGCCACGCTCTCCCTACGGGGAGCTATCAGACCCCTCTTGTCAGACTACGGGTCTCGACCACTGGGCTACACAGCCCGAGCCCTTACAAGGGCGTCGGCCAGTGAATCCCAAGGCCTCGCCTCTGAGCCTCTCAGAACCCCGGCCCGTACAAGGGCAGCGGGGCTAGGGGTCCCAGGGCCTATCTCTTCCTCCGTCTTCTGTCTTCACTGGTTACCAACTCCCCGAGTGCCCGCGCGCACCGCCTTACATAGCCCTCCACTCCCGAGGGGGCGGAGCCTATGCGGACCGCGATGTGAGCACCCACTCGATGTAACCAATCACCACGCGCTGCCTCACGATCCCTCCTGCCAGCGCGTATCACCACTACACATGTGTGTGCTCAGTGTGTGCGCTGCGTGTGGGTGCCCAGTGTGTGTGCTCAGTGTGTGTATGTGCTGCGTGTGTGTGTGTGCTGCATGTGTGTGCTCAGTGTAGGCGCTGCATGTGTGTGCTCAGTGTGTGTGTGTGTGCTGCGTGTGTGTGTGTGCTGCATGTGTGTGCTCAGTGTGTGCGCTGCGTGTGGGTGCCCAGTGTGTGTGCTCAGTGTGTGTGTGTGCTGCGTGTGTGCTGCATGTGTGTGCTCAGTGTGTGTGTGTGTGCGCTCCGTGTGTGTGTGCTGCATGTGTGTGCTCAGTGTGTGTGCTGCGTGTGTGTGTGCTGCGTGTGTGTGCTGCGTGTGTGTGTGCTGCATGTGTGTGCCCAGTGTGTGCGCTGTGTGTGTGTGCTCAGCGTGTGTGTGTATGCTGCATGTGTGTGCTCAGTGTGTGCGCTGCGTGTGTGTGCTCAGTGTGTGTGCTCAGCGTGGGGCCAGGGGGGAGTCGCGGCACTGGCTGAGTTGCTCCATGGCCGTGGCACCGCAAATTTTCGCACGGGAGATTCGGACTGCCCTTGAAAGCTGTGCGGGTGCCGCAAGAGGCGAGTAGGAGCCCCGTAAGCTCTCTGCAAAGAGATGGCGGCAGTGACGGACTGGGACTACGAAATGGGCCCAAGCAAATTTAGTTAAACGCACAGTGGGCCCACATTGCCGTGCGATCTCATTTGGGCCCATTTTGGGGGACTGGGTCTGATACAAAAAATTGCGCCGGTGAGGAAGGATCTTTTGGGCTGCCGAATACGGCGGGCGCTTAATGCCAACTGTGAGGGTAAATAAGCAACGAGGTGTACACATTGGAGCTAATGAAATATTAAAATAACAATTTTGCATTTTTTTCCCACACAGACCGGCCCACCGACCCTGGTTCGCAGTGGCTGTTAGCTGCCTCGAAGGCAGTGTTCTTCATTGCAAGATCCGCAAGCCACTGGGGGCCCCTGGTGGCCTTAAGAGCGACCCCCCGACTACACCGCATGTGAAGACACCCATTGCAGGCGGTGTGACGGCCCTCACACTGGCGATGTCCTATCGGCGAAAGTAACCCGCGCTGTGAGCTATTACTGTGGCCACAGCAGCAAGGGTTGGTGAATCACGCACTCAAATGTTGTGAAACTCCGTTCCACGCGGGCGTCGATTATCAGAATTGATTTGAATAGATGGTGCTTCTGTGAAGTTCCACCCAGCCCACAGAAGCCACGGGGAAGTGAGTAGCTGTCAGGTGAGCTGGCAGCAATGATCCCCATCGTATTTCGGATATATATATGGCTGCATTAATACAAGAACAATTCAAGAATTAAGTGACGAAGAATATACTGTCTGTACAAATTTTAAATGAATATTAACTGAAAGTTCTGAACTTTGTCTGGTACCCGAATGTTAATCAAATGCTTCAGGGTACCCATATACAAATATATTGAAGAAATAACGACTAATATTTAAACAGTAACCCACGAATGATAGCGATCCAAGCCTATGAATATATTTATTTAACCGAACACCACGACAATTAAGAGTATGTGATCTCTCACTGCAATATGTTAACGCTAACATTCGTGAAGCATATCTGCAGTCACTGCACATTCGCCAGCCAATAGGGTAGCAGGCTCAGAACCGTGGCGTTAGCAGATATTTTCACCAGACACATGACGACCTTTGGAAGTGTTTTCCCTGGCTGTAGGTTGCCAGGCTGTATCTGTGTCCTATTTTTTTTTTGTTTAATCTGTGTCTTGTGTGTTTGCCGAGCGAACTCAGATGCCGAGCAAACACACACGTGCATAAAAAATGCTTATGCACGCATCCAGGGTCAGGGCTAAACGGCACAGCAGCTTTTACACTAGTTCACGATGTTGCTTATACTAAACTAAAGTTTACCAGGTAAGGCCCCACTGAGCGATATATCCCTTTTTCATAAGCGATTTGGCCACAAATGATAGCTCAACGAAGTGGCTTATCTCGTGGAAATTCATAGCAGCCAAATACTCTTCAACGCGTGACGTCGATTTTCAATGTGGAGGGGAAATAACGGAGGCTCCGGAGAAACATCCAAGCGACCACGGGGAGTGAGAGAGACGCACAAACTTCAAATATACAGCAGCAGGCATCCGGGTCGGGACTGAACTCACGGCCTCCTGCATACTAGGCGAGGCAGTTAACATCTCGCAAAAATCCCAATTGCTGGACTGTCCAGGTCAAACGCACATTAATGTGAATAAGGGTCATTGCCCAAAACGTCGGATATAATATTTTTCTATTAAGGCCACAGTGTTATTAACACTGTGTTGAGTGTTTTGATCATCATTTGTCAATTTATTTTCTTTCTCACAAGGCTTGTTATAAAATCAGAACACGATACTATCATCGTCATCATCGTCATCACTCAGAATATTCCGTGAAAAATCCCATGGATCACACCCAGACCAATGCTGTCTTTTATTTCAAGATTCTGGCAGAATAACCGCTTCGGTTTTCTGGAACGCTGACAAGAGTCATACCGAGGGCTTCATTGCATGGATTGTTCTTTCCTCCTGCACCTCCGATTACCACGGTTGGCAACGTACGGTGCGAAAGAAGTTCAACATGCATACATGGTGATGATGTTGATGATGTTGACGATGATGTTGACGTTGATGGTGAGGATGATGTCAATGATGTTGATGATGGTGATAATGTTGATAATGATGGTGATCCTAGCGATCTAGATTGAAATTGTTTTTCTTTAGAACTACTTTTTGTGTTCGTTTGTTGTCCTTCTCCCGCACGTCAGATTAGCACGGTTGGCTACGTACGGTGCAAAGGAAGTTCAACATACATACATCTAACCACACAAAATATTAAAGAGTGATCAAAACACTGATGATAACTAGCATCATCAGACGGATAGCCAAATCTGGCATAATACAGGTTTTTATTTACGCGATCTAACCCAAAAAAACCAGTATTATGCATCTCATACCTGTCAACCCGATGATGTCCCCGTATTCTTGTACAGGGAAATTGAGTTTTTAGGTCCATACCGTGTACAGCCGTTTCAATACGGGCACAACAAAATTGTCTTTGTGTGTCTCCCTTGTGATGGGACTTTGTAGGATGAACGTTGAGATTTATAAGGGGACGGGGTGACCAGTAAGGTATAAATTGTTCTGTCACAAGGTAGGCAGTGACAATGGGTTGACAGGTATTCCATCTCAATCAGTGTTCTTAACTAATTGTCAGAGGGGGCAACGGGGGGGGGGGCAATTATGCCGATAAGGGATCATCAGTGTGAGGGCCACCACACGTTTGAAACCATTGTTGGGTTTGACGGCACAATGATGATGTTGGGTGGTGGGGTGGGAGGTGTTTTCACATTTGTGTATTGTTAGCCAGCACGGGGCCTTGGCAATGAAGAACACCGGCCTCGAGTAAGGACTCACACCAGCTGTGTGTGTGTGCCGTAGCACACTCGCGGCATCGTCACAGGTGTGCTGCTCTCGCAGAAAATATTCAGAATTGCAGAACGCCGCTGTCCGCTAGCTTGGGCGGGCGAATTCTCTCCTCCGTGCCGTTCTTGCGACCAGTCCGCGTGATGAAGTGATCTGTTCTGCAGGCAGCCGCGAACGTTGTCAAGCAAACCTCGCGTTTATTTGTGAATCGCCGCGTTATCGTCGCCGCTGTTTGAAAAGAGGAGAGGGAGTAGGAGGGGGACATGAAAGGATCGGAATGTTTGGGGATGGGGTGAGGGTTAGGGGGGGGTATGGTGGTGGTGGAGGGGGGGTTTGGCAAGCGAGAGTACAAATTTCCGTGCGTGCAGCAAATGAGTTGTCAGTCAGTCACTGCCCTCCCTCTGGTGTGTGACCCCGACCGAGTCACCACACGTACAGGAACGCAATGGCCGTGTCCGCGGCGATACCACTGCTGCTGATGCTGCTGTCTGCATTCAGCTGCATACGCGCGCAAGCCCAAGGTAACCCAACCACATTGTCCGTGTTCAGTTCGGTTGGTTCTTCAGGCGCTGCGATGTGACCCAGCGGCAGCACGTTCGCACGGTTCGAACCACATGGCCGCCCCTCCTCCCCGGTTAATATTGCGGTGTGTTAAAAAGAGCCCGTGAAAGTTATTTGGCCATTGTGTGCCGACGTGTAATGATTAGTATAATAGACTTGCGAACGAATTAAGAGGCCCCCTGTTCGATTTGATCTCCCGGCGTGCCACTTGACTCAAGCGAGATGTTAACTCCCTCGCCTGGTACGCAGTAGGGTCGGGGGTTTGATCCCGACCCTGACGTCTGTTGCATATTTGGAGTTTACATGTTCCCCCCGTGATCATGTGGATTTCTTTCTCCGGGTCCTTCCGTTTATACCTCCAGATTTAGAGTCGGCACGCGTTTGGAGAATTTGACTGCTGTAGATGTCCACGTGATGATGATGAGCCACTTCGTTGAGCTATCATTTGTAGCCAGGTGGCTTCTGAAAAATAGCTATTCAGTTTCAGTTTCATTTATTAGGTATAGCCCTGTGAGCCATTCGGCTCTTGAATCGGGTGCAACCGCAACAAACCAAAAACATAAACATGAACAAGAAAACATCTTAAAGTGACTATGCGCAAACAGAAACATCCAAGAAAGAACTGCAAAGTCTTCCAGAAAAAAAAGCACCGTACACCATATCGCTCAATGGGCCTTAAGTGGTAAAATTTAAATTGTTTAGTTTTGTATTTTATAGCATTCATATCTTTGATCTTGCTAGATAATGGAACAAGCCAAGGAGCGAACAAAGCACGCCGTGCGTGAGTCGCTCGCCTGTCGATCCGAATTATCCACATTTCATTTGCCAAAACGAGAGCTCAAAACGTTGTGTGTACGTTGAACTTCTTTCGCACCGCACGTAGCCAACCGTGCGAATCGGAGGTGCGGGGGAAGGACAACAAACTAAACGATTCGAAAGAATTTATTTTTATTTTTTATTGATCAGACCTCGACTATTGTTTGGCATTTGGCTCCTGAACAAATTTTCTGCTGCTGTCACGTACAACAAAATATGCGAAGGTCGTGCGACGATTAGTTCGGGGGTGAGGGAGGGGGGGCACGGGGGGCACGGGACCACAACCGAGAGAAATAGTGAAAGAAAACGGTGGAAACGAAGACGCGACAAGGGAGATTAGACGGGGAGGGGGGGGGTTGCAGGAAGCCCAAATAAGACCTGTTTGGTGGGAAACTAAAGAAAGGTTTTGAGGGACTTGTGGAAGGTTCCAGACGGTGGGGAGTGAGTGCGTTACTGAGTTGGGTTGTTACTGGGGGTGTGTGTCACTGGGAGTCTGTTGTTGGGGAGCGGTAGCGCTGTGCGCTACGAACCCGGCGGCCCGAGTTCGATTCCCGCCCACGGCCAACGCCGGTGACGATTATCTGAATAGGTCCTGGGCCTCCCCTAGGTCGACTCAGCCTGAAATGAGCAGCTGGTGCGATGTGTGAAAACATCGCCGCCGGGGAGACAAAGGCGGCCCGGCGTGGTTGCTGGCCACCCACCGCCCTCGTGCGCCGTGCCGGCCTTCATAGCTGCTACTCGCTAACAGCACTTGCCCCAACAGTCTGTCAAGGCTATATGGGGGGAGGGGGACCTTTGTCTTTGTTACTGGAACAATCGAGTCCCCTTACTATCAGAAGCGGCTCGTGTGCACAACTCACCCCGTTTCAAATCGAACTGGGGGAGGTTCACGGCACCGCCGCATTCGCGCTCCTGTACACGATGCACCCTCTGCAAACTTTGTTTTGAACTCTCAGCCCCTGGGGTCAGGGCTGATGCTGACAGCTGCGGTTTTCTGATGGGCGCCGCCGGGCGCCGCCAAGCGCCAATGCCCAATAGTGCTCCTCTGCGTGAGCGAAAGATGTCGGAAGAGGCCTGGCCTGGATTTTGAGTTTGTTTTGTTATTTTGTTCGTAACCTGTATCTGCATTGTAAGCTGACCGCAGATAATTGATGTGCCGGGTGGTGTTGGCGGCTACGCACGTGGCTGCCTGGAATCCAGCGATGTTGATGCAGCGAGGGTTGATGGATCACCGCACAGATGATCGGGAACTTCTCTTTTGCGTGAATTCTGTGTGTTTATGTTGAACTTCGTTCGTACCGTACGTAGCCGACCGTGATAATCGGAGGTGCGGTGGAAGGACAACAAACTAAACGCAAAAAGCAATTCTAAAGAAATTCGTTTTCAAGACAGGTGCCGTAGCCTGGCCCTGCCATGAGAAGGCAGTCCAGCAAAAATGTTGACTCCACCTGTTCCATCTGTACGGGATAGAGCGTTTCTCCCTCGCTTGCGTGAGTTTTCTTGGGGTAGCTCCGGTTTCCTCCCAATATGATTGGCCCTATAACACACTAATATGCAGAGGACCTGCAGAGCTTGGGCAACTGTTGGTTGCAAGCTCATCACGTGGCTGCCTTCCCTCTCGCCCGTGGGCGCCTCGGTGGCGAAATGTTAACTACCTCTTCTGGTATACAGGAGATCGTTGGTTAGATCCCAACCACCGACGCCTGTATATTTGGAGCTTGCGTGTGTCGCGTAGATTTTTCTCTGGGTCCTCCAGTTTTTCCCTCCACATTTAGAATCAACATCACGCATTTAGAATATTTGGCTGTTATAAATAACATTTTTTATTATTTACCCTCTCAGTTGGCATTAAGTCCCGCATATTCGGCAGCCCCAAAGATCCTTCCTCACCGGTCAAATTAGTTGTTTTGTTTAAGGACCCAGCCCCGAATGGGCCAAATGAGTTCGCGCGGCAAAAAAAATCACACCGCAACATCTGGCTAAGTCCGTAGGCCCGAATATGTATCCGCGTGTGGTTTTCTTTTCTTTCTTACGAACGCCTCGGCCTGATTTTCTTTTAGTTTGTTTAACCCCCCCCCCCCCCCCCCCCAGTCCGTCACTGTCTCTCCCCACTCCTGTCCTCCACCCGCCGTGACCCGTCGCCAATTTTTGCCCCCAACCGGGAGCAGGGCCGACCTGCGGGGCCCCGCCACAGATCTCGCACGGCCACGTGGTGAAACCCAAGGGGTCGTACGCCGCGCAGGAGGAGGCGCAGTACGAGTGTGACGACGGATACACGCTCCACGGACCGCGGGCCTTCTGCAGCGGCCAGGGGTGGTCGCACACGCCCAGCTGTGACAGTGAGTGGGGGGCGGCGATAGGTGTACCGCACACTCAACAGCAGCAGTATAGCCACACACGCCCAGGTGTGATGGTGAGTGGTGGAAGGGGGGTGGAATAGGTGTACCGCACACACACACAGCAGCCTATAGCCACAGATGTCCCGTTGTGAGGGTGAGTGGATAGGTGTACCGCACACACACACATGCACAGAAACCCAGAGCCACACACGCCCAGGTGTGATGGTGAGTGGTGGGAGGGGGGTGGGAATATGTGTACCGCACACACACACAGCAGCCTATAGCCACAGATGTCCCGTTGCGAGGGTGAGTGGATAGGTGTACCGCACACACACACATGCACAGAAACCCAGAGCCACACACGCCCAGGTGTGATGGTGAGTGGTGGGAGGGGGGTGGGAATATGTGTACCGCACACACACACAGCAGCCTATAGCCACAGATGTCCCGTTGCGAGGGTGAGTGGATAGGTGTACCGCACACACACACATGCACAGAAACCCAGAGCCACACACGCCCAGGTGTGATGGTGAGTGGTGGGAGGGGGGTGGGAATATGTGTACCGCACACACACACAGCAGCCTATAGCCACAGATGTCCCGTTGCGAGGGTGAGTGGATAGGTGTACCGCACACACACACATGCACAGAAACCCAGAGCCACACACGCCCAGGTGTGATGGTGAGTGGTGGGAGGGGGGTAGGTGTACCGCACACACACACAGCAGCCTATAGCCACAGATGTCCCGTTGTGAGGGTGAGTGGATAGGTGTACTGCACACACACACATGCACAGAAACCCAGAGCCACACACGCCGAGGTCAGGGCTGCCCAGAGGTCCCTGGAAGCCCGGTGGCTGGAGGCACGGGGCAGTTTGCGAGATTGGGGGGCCCCCTTATTTATTGAGGCCTGTGGTAAATTGAGTGAGGCCTGTGGTAACCTGAGTGAGGCCATGGTAAATTGAGTGAGGCCATGGTAAATTGAGTGAGGCCCATGGTAACCTGAGTGAGGCCTGTGGTAAATTGAGTGAGGCCTGTGGTAACCTGAGTGAGGCCATGGTAAATTGAGTGAGGCCATGGTAAATTGAGTGAGGCTCATGGTAACCTGAGTGAGGCCTGTGGTGAATTTAGTGAGGCCTATGGTAACCTGAGTGAGGCCCGTGGTGAAATGAGTGAAGCCCATGGTCAGTTTAGTGAAGCCCGTGATAAACTGAGTGAGGCCATGGTAAATTGAGAGAGGCCCGTGGTCAATCGAGTAAGGTCTGTGGTAATATTGAGTGAGGCCCGTGGTAAACTGAGCGACGCCTCTGGTAAAACGGCCCATTTGGCCAAAAAACCTTCCAGCCTTGCCGAGCGCCGCGGCTCTCCGTTGTTTTGCTGCTGCCCCCCCACCCCCCCTTCCAGTGCCGTGCAAGGTGACCTCAAACGATCTGGAGGCCCACTCGCTGGAGATGGCCGCCGAATCGCAGCAGTTCCGCCGGGGTTCGTCCATCTCGCGCCTCTTCAAGGCCACCACGTACAAGATCCCGCCGGGGGAGATGGCCAACTTCGCGTGCCGCAAGAAGAGCGTCGCCGTGGGCCCGCTGAGCGCCATATGCCTGCAGGGCTCCCTCGAGCTGCCGTTCTGCGAACCCGGTACGGCGTCGGCAAGGACGAGGAGGGCCTACGAGGTGGTTGGAAGGAGGAGAGGGGAAGGGAGATGATGGAGGCTGGGGCAGGCGGTAGGCGAGCGAATGGGGTGTGGGATAGGAGGAGGGCCGGGTTGGGACATTCTGCCGGATGTTTTTGGGTAATATAATAGTCATTTTAATTTCTTAAGCGCCTTTAAACAATCGTTCTCAGGGCGCTATACCATGGAAAGGCCGATATAGTTTAACGTCAACCAAGGAAAGAGGAAGTGAGAAAGACGTTTGAAAAGAACTTGGGGACCCGGCTTATATTCTCTGCGGCGTGGCTGGCTCCACCCTTGGCCACGACCACAAACCAGAATCCTCGAGCAGGATCTGGACCCCGACCACGTGACCCCCCTAGCCCCCACTTGGGGCCCCTTTGTAGACTTAGCCGGTCACGTGTCCTCTCGGGTCAACCAGAGTGCCATGGCCTTTAGTGACCCCATTCCTACGGCCGGCACTCCTACACCCTATCCTGTCGGGTTGGCACTGCACGCAGTGGCGGCTCCTGCAAAATCTCTCAGGGGGGGGCAAATGTCTGGATGATTGATAAGGATAAGGTCCACCCATGCAATGGATAAATTAACAGCTTAAGCATGTAAAGGCAACTTCACTTCTTTAATATTAATGAAAAATAAAGTGACTCTTACAACACATCTTGTTTGTTTCTATACTCACTATTAAAACAAACCACTCAAGTTTATTTTATTAAAGATTCCACTAGGTGGCGATAAATTATATTGTTGGATGAAACGTGCTTACGTATGATGACGTTAGCACGTATGATGACGTAAGCACGTTAGTGCAAGCCCTCCCGGAAGCCATAGAGAATGCATTGGAGCGCCCGCCGTTCGAAAAAAAACATCTTTGAATGTAAGTCTATGGGGCCACTCGGGGCGATTCTCAGCCGGAGTGAAATCGCCCAAAAAGAGGCGGTACTCCACAGAACGTGACATGACGCTGATTGGACTATATCCAGAGGCACAGTGACGGCTAGCGTGACTCTGTGGTTGAATGACATTGGTGGTGCGTCGCCCAATCGCCCTAATGAAGAAACCGCCACTGACTGCACGTCAAGCGTGATGCCATCCAGCGCTATGAATCAGCGCACACCGAGACCCTCTAGGACTGGTACTACACAGTGACATTCCGCGATGTCACTACACTACTACTACTACAGAAATCGTGAACAAAATATATTTACATAACATTTTTTGTCATTCATTAAAACTAGTTTGTTGTCATCTTCTTGGTTCTTTCGGTAAAGTCACGTAGAAGGGAAGTAATAAAATAATAAAAATAAAACATAATAAAATAATTCTCACGACGTTTCGGCTACAACGCAAGCAGCCGGCTGCTACAACGCTGCTTGCGTTGTAGCCGAAACGTCGTGAGAATTATTTTATTATGTTTTATTTTTATTATTTTATTACTTCCCTTCTACGTGACTTTACCGAAAGAACCAAGAAGATGAATTTCTGCAGTCACGAAAGCTTTAAATCGAAATTTAGTTTGTTGTCTTTCCCCCGCACCTCCGATTAACATGGTTGGCTACGTATGCACCGTACGTAGAAGTTGAACGTACATACAATAACATATTCATAACAGGCGACTTTTTGGGCAACGGCTCTTCTTCTGAGCACCATGTTAATTGAGGTTGAGTTTTGTTATTTATGTTTGCGCACCACTGCCAATGCAGCAACAGCAGCAGCAGCGGCACCGCCTAAATCATTTATTTATTTTAACTAAGATAATGTTTTCCGTTGCAGTCGTTGGTTAACGGGCTTTGACAATGAACCCACAGGGGGTTAAATTTCGATTGAAAGCTTTCGTGACTGCAGGGATTCATCTTCTTGGTTCTTTCGGTAAAGTCACGTAGAAGGGAAGTAATAAAATAATAAAAATAAAACATAATAAAATAATTCTCACGACGTTTCGGCCACAACACAAGCAGCCGTCCTCAGGTGAAGACCAGGTCTGTCGAGGCGACAGAGTCTAAAAGAAAACACCACCACGCTTGGAGCGTCTATTTAAGCTGGGTTGGAAGGGGGGGGGGAAATGCGCATTGGCAAAATAATCTGCATATCAAGAGGAATTTAGCATATTTATGGGTAATGCAGGAATGCGATTAGTATTATTTGTTATGCAGGATTAGCATTTCACAAATAACACTAATCGTATTCCTGCATTTCCCATAACCTGGTCGAAACCGCGGGGCCCCTGGTCACTGTTCAGTAAGACCCCCCCCCCCCCCCCACTTTGTCTCGCCGTGCGGTGCCGCTCGTGAAACGCACAGAATCGTGTCGCAGGCTGGAGGTGGCGCACGGAAAGCTCGTGATGTCTGAGGACACGGTGCGTCACAACCACAGCGCCGGCCTTGCCTGCGACACGGGCTACGAGGGCTACAGCAAGATCTCGTAAGTAGTGACGGCGCCAGGCCTCGTATAAGTCGCGCACGCACAGGGCTGCCGGCGTCGCTTGCCATTACGTTGGTCAACAGCACGATATGCGCAGCACAGTCTTGCAAACGAACAACAACAACAACTAAGTGGTGGTGCCAGGCTATGTGCACTTTAAGGCTACGTGAAGTGTCAAACGCCCGCTGGCAGGAGGTCATGGTACAAACCCAGGTGCCATGGGTTGGTCGACTGAGATGATTGGCCGATGTACCACCTGTGCTTCCTACTTTGCAAACGAACACACACACGGACATGCAGCCAAGCGTGTAACTTTGACCATCTCCCGCACATCGCCAGCACGGTCACATACAAGATCGCCTGCCTCTGCCACCATGCCTTCACATCTGCCTGCCCCCCGTACCTCTCTTCATTATTGACGACTTGCAGCTCAGCACACGGCAGATGCCTGCGCAGCGCGACTCACGACCTCCTCTTGATACCAAGATCCAGGACGGCCACGTCTATGCGTCGCTTCTCGGTGGCAGCCCCAACAGTCTGGAATGCCGTCACCCCTCTGCACATTCGCAGCATCGCCGCAATCGTCTCCTTCAATAGACACTTAAAAACTCACCTCCATGACCACGCTTTCGAGTGACTCTGAGCTTGGCTCCGCGCCTCTGAGTTGCGGCTGTTAGGTCTGCAAAATCGCGTGACGTCATTTATGGACGGTCCCTTTGAGCCTTTGTGCGTGTGTGCGCCGCTGCAGGTGCAAGGCTGGGGTGTGGGAACCCACCCCCGTGTGCTGCGCCCGTCCTGCGGCAGCGGTGGCCAACGGACAGGTAATTAATCACTCGCTCACTCGCTCGCTCGCTCAAACGATTTAAAAATATATATTTTAACCAGGTTAAGGCCAGCTTAGCCGCGATTTTAGAGCTCTTTTTTACACGCTTTCTTTTAACTCACTCTGTCTGTTGTTGTTGTTGTCGTTGTTGTATCCTCAAATATTGTAACTCAATTTTAACCCACTTCCCAATGTGGTATCGACTGCAAACTTGGTATACTTATGTCATACTGATGACAATGCTATATTCTATCATAAAAAAAAAACATTAATTTTAAAACATTCTTTTACACGTATAATAATATTAACTCACTTTGTCTGTTGTTGTATCCTCAAATCTTGTAACTCAATTTTAATCCACTTCCCAATGTGGCATTTACTGCAAACTTGGTATACTTATGTCATACTGATGACAATACTATATTCTATAATAAAAAAATATATTTTTTAACATTAGTTTTTATATGTTATGTTTCGGCTTGGTTCTAATTGTCCACGCTCAACTAACGTTGCGTGTAATTGGCCACGGTCCCTTACGTTATGGCAAGCTTCGGGGCCACTTCCTGGAGTCGTGGAGTTCTTCCATTACGAGTACATTTCATAAAAGCGTGTTTTTAAAAAAAAGTTTTTTTTAATATTACTTATTTTGTTGGAAGCAAACCCGGCTATCGCAAACTGATAGCTCAACGAAGTGCCTCATCATCATCGCGTGGTTATTTTAAATAATAATAATTTACATGTATTCGTAAGGCGCCTTCCACTAATGTCTCAAGGCTCCTTATAAGAATAAGTACAAGGACAGGCCAAGAAAGAAGGAGAAGCTAAATAGAATAAACGAACTGAAGAAGATGTGGTTTTCGACGAGACTTAAAAGCATCCACATTATCGGATGAACGAATTTCCAACGGCAGGGAATTCCACAACCGTGGCGCAGACGCAGCAAGTGGCCACTCACCCCATGAATGCAGCCGGGATTGAGGCACGCACAGAAGGACGCAGTCTACAGACCTTGACGCGAGTTGATTCTAAATTTGGGGGGGTGGGGGGGTGGGGGGGGGTGGGGCGGAGGAGAAAAATCCGCGCGACCACGGGGAGAGAGACACGCAAACTCCGAATATCAGAATCAGAATGTTTGCTAATACTGCAGGAATCCGATGAGCGAAAAAGCTCATTTTCACCGATATCCAGCACAACAGGTGCAAGTCCCGTCGCAACTCACGTCGTATCCTCAACCCCTGACCTTGTGTTCAGGTGAAAGTGAACAGGGAGACGCTGACGGCTGAGCTGGCCTGCTCCACTGGGTTCGAGCCGGTCAAGGGTCAGCAGGTCGCGTGCCGGTCGGGCGCCTTCGACACGAAGGCGTTCGCTTGCAAGGAGCGTGAGTGGAGCGCTCACGGTGTTGTGCTGCGTTACACCCGCAGAACGCACACAATCTTACAACACTGACGATGTTGTGCTGCCTTACACCCACAGAACGCACACAATACTACAACGCTCACGGTGTTGTGCTGCGTTACACCCGCAGAACGCACACAATCTTACAACAATGACGATGTTGTGCTGTCTGTGAGTGCAGGTAAGTGCGACCCGCGCGCCAGCGACTACCCGCACGTGAAGAGTCTGGACAAGGGCAAGGACGGCTTCACGTACACGGTGAAGTGCAAGAGCGACCACGCGGCCTTCGTTCCCACCGTGCGGTGAGCGGTGGTGGGCTTGGGTTGGGGGGAACGCGGCCCGGCGCACGCATGGACTGATGCACGCGCAGAACGCGTGCGCCCGCACAGAACACACACACGCGGAGAACACACACACACACGGAGAACACACACACACGGAGAACACACAGAGAACACACACAGAAAACACACTGAACAGAACACAGGACACACAGAGAGAACACAAAAAACACACAGAGAACACAAGACACGGAGAGAACACAAAAACACACACACACAGAACACAAACACACACACAGAACACACACACAAAACAAACACACACAGAAGACAAACACACATAATACAAAACACACAAAACACACAGAACACCACAACACAAACACTGGAGGCAGCGCTTCGAGGTGCGTTCGCGTAACTCCCACCCCCCTCCCCCCGTGGTTGTTGTTGTTGCTGCTGCGAAGGTGCGAACAGGGCACGATGGTGCCCGCTCCCTACTGCTGCTCGTCCACCCACCGCATCCCCCACGGCTCGGTGGGTGTCGGCCAGGGCCACGGCAACGTGCACGCCAACATCACCTGCGAGCCGGGCTACCACCCTCCGCAAGAGACGCACGTGCTCTGCGTGAACGGAGAGTGGCCCGCGGGCAGAATCAAGTGCGACAAGGTCACAGGTGCGGTGGGGTCAAGGTTCACAGGTGTGGTGGGGTCAAGGTTCACAGGTGTGGCGGGGTCAAGGTTCACAGGTGTGGTGGGGTCAAGGTCAAAGGTGTGGTGGGGTCAAGGTTCACAGGTGTGGTGGGGTCAAGGTCACAGGTGTGGTGGGGTCAAGGTTCACAGGTGCGGTGGGGTCAAGGTCACAGGTGTGGTGGGGTCAAGGTCACACTTTTATTTAGCTCGCCCTGTTGTCCACTTGCTGTACATCCTTTCGAATCTTTGACGCGTTAAAATACCTTCGGATCTACGAAGCCACTAACGAGCTGAAATGCTGCACACGCGGATTCGCGGTTGTCGCCTGCCGTGTGACGATTCAAGATTTCATTTAAATAACCTGGGTCCAGTGTCCCGACGATCCCGGGCCCTCTTTGTGTTTTTGACCTAAATTTTGACCTTAATTTTGACCAAAATTTTGACCAAAATTTTGACCAAAAATTTGATCTAATTTTTTATCTTAATTTTGACCTAAATGTTTTCAAATATATATTGGAATTATCCAGACAATAAAATGTACTCTTGTTATTGTCTGGATAGAGATGTTCAAAATTAATATGGACGTATAGAAATTATTATTGTCAAGATTAACATGAAAAA